AAGTTTCTAGGTTCACAGTTGATTGAATTAATACAGTTATACAATATTGAACTCAGTTAAGCCCTGTAAGACATAAAATTGAATGAGTTTTTAACCTTTAAAAAAGATCTCCATTTCATTTTAGACTATATTGTTCCTTGCAGAAAGACTTATTCTTACTTGTTATTTTTATGTGTATGCATGTATTGCCTGCATGTAGGTAAGTGCACGTGTGCTGTGCAGTGCCTGCGGAGGTCAGAAGAGGCTGTCAGATCCCCTGGGACTAGAGTTATGGACACTTGTTAGCTGCTATGTAGGTGCTGAGATCTGAACCCAGGTCTTCTGCAAGAACAACCAGTATTCTTAACTGCTGAGCCATCTCTCCAGCCCCATTATTTTTATTTTTTATGTATGAATGTATTACCTGCATGTATGTAAGTGCACCCATGTCGTGCAAAGCTCACAGAGGTCAGAAGAGGGTGTCAGATTCCCTTGAATCTGGAACTGGAGTTATGAATGGTTGTTAGCTGCCATGTGGGTGCTGGGAATTGAACCCAGGTCCTCTGCAAGAGTAGCCTGTGCTCTTAACTGCTGAGCCATCTCTCCAGCTCCTAAAAATGAATTTTTAAAAGCCTATTTATTTCTTGAAAAAGTTCTCTATATCTTTTCTCCCACCATTTTCTCCTTGTCTTAAGTCAATTCAGGTCACTGTACTAGTACTATAGATGGGTGTAAACATTATTATAAACATTAGAAATTTATTTTTCATAGTTCTGGAAGAGTAAAATAAGGGTGTCAACATAGTTAGGGTCTGGTGAAAGCTTATTGGGTGGTGGCATTTTTTTTCTGATTGTGTCCTCATATAAATTAAAATATGGTAACACAAGCCTCCAGGATCTCCATTATAGGGGCATGAACCCACTCTCATGACCTCATCACTTTCCAGAAACCCAGTCTTCTAATAGTCGGTGGGGGGAGGGGTTTAAGCCAATAATGCCTTTAAAAATTAACCTTCTGCCTATGATCTCCTGTGGCCTGAGCTATCTGCTTGTGCTAGTTTCCTTTCTAGGTGATTATTTGAAGGCAGATCAAGTCTGATTAATATTCTAAGAGTTCAAAATGCCAGTGAATGAGGCAGACCTAAGAGAACTATATTTGAAGCAAGCCCAAATTAAAGTCCGATTCTGGATAATTTGTTCAAATGAAATCAGCCTCTTATGCCTAAATAGTAAAGTAACCTGCCAATTCACAGAAAAGAGGAAAGTACTGTTTATTCAAATCTAGTCCAGATTCTAAGAGACATAACCAGAGAGGCCGAAAAAAGTATAAACACATTTCTGTGTGTTCTGTAATCATTTTGAACACTTCCATTCTGTCCCTTTACTTCACAGGTTTGGTTTTAATCTCTCTCTGTGTCTCTCTGTCTCTGTCTCTCTGTCTCTGTCTCTCTCTCTCTTTCTGATTTAATGCATAATAGAGACTCAAGTTTCATGGTATCAGTATTCTAGAAAGAATCTGCTTCAGGTTAGAAAAGATGCAGAAGTTTTCTTCGTAATGTTTTGCTGCTTCGGCTTTTTTTTTTTAGAGCAACTTGGTGGTATTTAGTATAGATCCTATTTAAATTACATATGTATTTCTAAGTTGGGATGTGGCTCAGTGGTAGAGTGCTTGCCTGGCATTCTTGAGTCCCTGGGTTTGATCCCAAGTTCTGCAAACTCCCCAAACCCTATTGTGTTTAGATCAAATATATTTTTATCATGTTTTACTATAAAGGTAAAATAGACAAAGTAAAATGCAGTGATGAGAGGAGAACCAGCAAGAGGGGAAATAGGGCAAGGCAGGGGGCAAATAAGAGCAAAGTATAATTATAATGTATAAAAACACCATAACCCATTTCTTTGTATGTTAACCAAAACACACAACACATACATGCACGCACGCATCCACCCTACTTTGTCCTTTGGAGGGAATCTTTATGCCTCTGTGTAGCCTTTCAAAAGTTCCATCAACCAAACTACTGTTTAACTTTGATTTGTTTAAACTTTGCTATATTTACTATATCTTTCCAACTTTCTAAACCACCATAATTAGAAATAACCTAATTTTTAAAATTTATGGCTTAATACAGTATCTCATTGGGTGAAATCCTAAATCAAACCTTCTATTTCCTTTAATAAAATATTTATAAAGAATTATAGTGTTCTATTTTGGTATGGCTGAGTAAGCTATGTCTATACAGGGTCTCCCTGTAGCCCTAGCTGGCTTGGATTTGCTATGGAGACCAGGCTGGCCTTACCTGTCTCTGCCTCCCGAGTGCTGGGCTTAAAGGTGTGCACCACCATGCCCAGCGGATTGCCTTTATTTTTAAAATAATATTTGTATATTTATTTTATGTGTATGAGCCTGCATATATGTAAGTGCATCTGTGTCATGCAGTGCCCACAGAGGTCAGAAGAGGGCATTGGATCCCCTGGAGCTGGAGTTATAGATGGTTGTTAGCTGCCATGTGGGGGCTGGGATCTAAACCTGGGTCCTCTACAGGAGCAGCCAGTGATCTTAACTGCTGAGTTATCTTTCCAGGACCAGCCTGGATTGCTTTTAAACACCTCTGCTTTGAGGGGGGAAAGAAGTTTCTTTATGGAATTACTTTTATTTGCTTTTTAAAAATATTTTATTATTTTTATTTCATGTGTATGAGTGTATTGCCTGCATGCATGTGAGTGCACCCGTGTCGTGCAGTGCCGCAGAGGTCAGAAGAGGGCTTCAGATTCCCCTGGAACTGGAGTTAAGGACGGGTCGTAGCTGCCATGTGGGTGCTGGGAATCGAACCCGGGTCCTCTGTAAGAGCAGTCAGTGCTCTTAACTGCTGAGCCATCTTTCCAGCCCGTTTGTTTGTTTTAAGACAGGGTCTCATGTAGCCCAGGCTGGCCTCCAACTCCTTTTTTAATTGAGACTGGCTATGAACTCATGATCCTCCTGCCTCTGTTTCCCAAGTGCTGGGATTATAGGCATGCATTACCACACCTGGTTTATTTTTAACTCTTAAAATGTACTCTTTTCAAAGATTTGCTTTTTTCTTTTTTCCTGTAGGAGCTGCTGCTCAAGAAGTTATCAAAATAATCACCAAACAATTTGTAATTTTTAATAATACTTACATTTATAGTGGCATGTCACAAACTTCTGCAACTTTCCAGTTGTAGATTAAGTACTCTGTGTAGTGTTAATGATTGAAACTGTAATTGCCTTTATATTGTCCTCCAGCCTGTAAAATTCTGTTAAAGGAGAGCTGTTAAATGGTTTCTTCAATAAACATTTCTCATTTGTAATGTAGTCTTGTTTGGGGTGAGGGGAGAAAGCAATGACTTTTCCAGTGAATAAAAGCTCTAATTTAGCTCATTAATACTGGCTTGCTGCTTTGCAGTTACAGCACATAGATGTCTCTATGCTTCATCAGAAAAAGTAAAAAAAATTTTCTTACCATCTTAAGTAATGAATTTAAGCCACATGTGGATTTTAGCTCTGGATACTTTAAGACCATCATTCTTTGTTTAAATGTACAGAATTTTAAAAAGAAACATCAGGATGTGTAGTTTTATCAGAAAACAAAACCATTCCATTGTCGTGTCATTCAACTAAGGTTCTGCCCCTATACCTGCTTGTTGAAATTTTATGAGGTTATCTTATCCATAAATTTCATTTTAGCAAATAACCACATGAATTAATAGCATTCACCAGCATAATACAGGGGGAAGAAAATTCTTTAAGACTGGCATAGTAGCAAACTGGAAATCCAGAAGTGGATGCAGGGTCCTACCCAGTTTCTGATTTAGGTATGGCTGAATATTAATGTGACTCTCAGTGTCTTAAGGCCCTTAAACTGGCTACTGCAAATTAGTCACTAAGGAAAGCAGTCTCCTGAGAACCTGTTAGATCTGCCAAGGGAATGCTTCATAGGGATTTGGTTTTCTTGGACATCAGTGTGTTGTCTTTGCTTGGCTGTCTGCTGTATCAACTGGCCCTTCCCACAGCAGGCACTGCCCCTCTGACAGGATTTCCCTTCCACTCCAACACTCCCATTGGATGGATTTTATTACAAAGGAAACGTGACAGGACCAATCAGACAAGTGATTTAATTCCATTTGCGACCTAGAGCACTGGTCATTAGGATCTACACAACGGGGGACTGGCTTGGCCTGAGCTAAAATTACAGTTGAGTCACCCAGTGAGGCTGTTTCTGTGTGGTGTGGGCGTCCATCAGTGGAATGCCCAATGCAAGTGAGAAAAACCTGGCGCTGGCAAGGTCAGGAGTGAAGGCCATATTGGGACACCCTGGAACGTATGTGCACCTTGTCCTTACGTATGGGCTCCTCAACCCCTGAGCGAAGGCCCTTCGAAGGGAAGTCCTGAACACTTGGGCTGCAAGATTTGGGCATATTACCTTCAAATCGAGACTTTCCTCCATCTAATACTCGCCTAACACCTGGCCAGCTTCTGCCCTCGCGAACAACAGCGAGAAGGCACCCACAGCTAGGCCAGGCCGCCTGGTCCGGAAGTCCCGCCCAGCGGATGTGCGCCTGGCTCATCCGGTGGGAAACCCAATCAGGCGTCGTGGCTGCTGCGCTCCGAGGCAGAGAAAGCTGGGGAGCTCGGAGCTTTGGCTTCAGGTCTGCTAGGGCCTCGCTCCTGGGTTTGGGGCCTGCCTCGGTTCAGCGCAGGGCCTGCTGCCCGCCGCCATGCTGCCCCTTAGCTGAGGGGATGGCTTGAGCGAGGGGAGGAAAGGTTTTCCAGAGCAAGCGCCCCGGGCCTTGTGGGAAGGGACCCCCCCCCCCAAGACACGTTCAGCTCCGCTTGCCCAGCATCTGAGAGTGGGAAGCGTGGGGTCCCCAGGGGTTTCGTTCCTCGGAACGACGGCGGACCGTGTGTTTGCCCTCAGCTGCACCTCGAGCTTGCTGGGTGAAGCCGCCAGACCTGCACTGGGGACCTGAACTCGATTACAGAGAAACTGGGGACCTAGAGCCCTCGACAGTTCTTCCCGCCTTTTAGGTGAGCCTGACTTCCGGAGGGCGCAGGGTGGAGTGCGCCCAACCCTTGCATAGATTCGTATCTGGTACCTATGGAACCTGGTTAGGGACAGGGGCCGGGACCCCTACAGATTATCTTGTAGAGCAGCTAATTCCTGCTACCCTCAGAGCATTCCTGAGACCCTTTTAACTATCAAAACAGAAAATGTATTTTACGAGTTGCATATTGACCTTTTCTCTTTGCCCCCATCAGAGGACAAGTTCCATTACATATGATTACAAGTTAGGGGTCCACCTTCACCAACCTAGCAGCGAGTGCTAGGATTGTCAGCTCTGCCCCCTTCACACACAAAGATGTTATTCATCGAGTATGGGGGTAGGGTGGGGAGTACATAGGTTTTTAAAAAATATTTTTCTATTTTTATTTTACGTGTATGAGTGTGTGTATGTAAGTGCACCCATGTCCTGCAATGCCCAGAGAGGCCAGAAGAGAGCCATCTAGCCTCTGATCCCCTGGAACTGGAGTTACACATGGTTGTTAGCCTCCATGTGGGTTCTGGGATTGGCACCTGGTTCCTCTGCAAGAGGAGCCAGTGCTCTTAAGCACTGAGCCATCTCTCTAGCCCCCAGATTTTTTAAAAAGCTAAAGTAGAGTAAATTTCCAGGCCTTGGCATGTACCTTAATGATAGATTGCTCCTTGAGTTCCATCCCCAGGATGTATGTTTGTTTACTATTTATTTGTGAAGTTTGCCCTTGAGTTAACAGTACTGTTTTTGGTCTTTTTGAGACAGGGTCTCCCTGTAGCCCCAGCTGGCCTGGAACTCACTGTGTAGACCAGGCTGGCCTCGAACTCACAGAGATCTGCCTACCTCTGCCTCTCAAGTGCTGGGATTAAATGTGTGCACCTGGCACCACACCTGGCAACAGTACTGTTTTGTCGAGTAGAGTGAGTAGAACCTATAAAGATCAGTCTTTCAGTTATGTGGAAACGTGCTTTTTTTTCTATGAGATAGTAGTCTTTTTTTAAAGTTATGATTTATTTTTATTTTACATATATGTTTTGCCTTTGTGTATGTAAATGCACCCATGTTGTACAGTGTCCACAGAGACCAGGAGAGGGTGTCAGATCCCCTGGAACTGGAGTTACAGACAGTTGTTAGCTGCCATGTGGGTGCTGGGAACTGAACCCAAGTAGTCTACAAGAGTAGCCAGTGCTCTTAACCACTGAGCAATCTCTCCAGCCCTGACCCTAAACTTCTGATTCTCCCTCCATTTTCCAACTGCTGTGATTACAGGTGTTCATCATGCCTGATTTATGTGGTTCTGGGGATTGAACCCAGGGCCTTGTGCATGCTAGTCAGGTTATAGTTCCTCACTGAGGGAGCCCAAGGTAGGAGCTCAGGGCAGGAACCTAGAGGCAGGAGCTGAAGCACAGGTCATTGGAGAAATGCTGCTTACTGACTTGTTCCCCTGGCCCGTGCTCAACGTGCTTTTTTATACGATACAGAACAACCTACCCGGGGGGGTGGGGCACTGCCTACAGTGGGTTGGGCTGTCCCACATCACTCAGCAGTCAAGAAAATACCCCACAGACATGGCCACAGGCCAGTCTAATGAAGGAATTCCCCAATTGAGGCTCTCTCTACCCAGGTGTGTCAAGTTGACAACCAAAGCTATCCAGTAGAGTAGTCATTTATGAGGAAAGAGGATTAAAAAGACACAAACTATATGTTGTTGGATTCAATTTCAGGGCACTAAGAATATAAAGATGGCTGGAGTTGTGCAGCTCAATGGTAAAGTGTCCAATAGCACAGGGTCTTGGGTTTGATGCTAACACTGGAAGGGGAAAAAAAGGTTGTACTTCATTCCTCCTTTTCTTTTCCATTCATTTAAAATGTGTGTGTGTGTGTGTGTGTGTGTGTGTGTGTTTGTATGTGTTAGTGTTCACGTGCCATGATGTGCTTGTGAAGGTCATCTTCAGGTAATAAGACCTGGTGGCGCTGGGAAGGGCCTTTACCTACTGAGCCATCTTACCACCCTTCTTTGTTTTGTTCTGTTTTTTTGGGGGGAGGGGCGGTGTTGGTGTGTGTGTGTGTGTGTGTGTGTGTGTGTGTGTGTGTGTGTGAGAGAGACAGAGAGAGAGACAGAGAGACAGAGAGACATTTATTGAGACAAAGTCCCTGGCTTGCCTGGAATTCTCCAAATAGCCCAGAGTAGCCTTAGCTTCCTGGACTGCCTCTCATTAGCTGTGATTACAGACAGGTATCACCATTTTGAGTATGAGTTCATTCTTTTTCAATTTTTTTTAGCATAGACCACTTCATGAATTTTCCTTGTTCAGGAGCCATGCTAATCTTCTCTGTGTAATTCCAGTTTTAGTGTATGTGCTGCCAAAATAAGCACACTGCCCAGAATATTTCTTAGAAGGTGATTTAATTAATAAAATGCCTTTATCTTATAGATGAACTAAAAGAAAAAAGACAAGCATGGAAAGTGAGGACACAAAGAAGATACAAGGTGAGGAGTTCATGCATCATATAGTTGCATTTGTTTTATATATTTTATTAGTTTTATAATTGTGTATGTAATTGTATATGTGTATATATTTCATGTCTGACAGCATCTAGAAAATGAAAGAATCATTCAGTAATTTACACATGTTGTAGAACGCATTTCCTTGGGGGGATATGAACAAATGTCTACTTAACCCCAGATAGGTAATTGATGACAGACCAAAATAAGTCTACCTGATAAGCCAGTGAGTTTATTGGGGTTACTTACAGGAGTACAGGTGAGAGGTTACTTACAGGAGCAGACATTACTCAAAGGTATACATCACAGAACGCCCACCCCAGCATTGGTGACAGTTCATGAAAGATGGAAACACTGTACAACTTAGAGGCAACCTGACAGGTTGGAAAGTACCTCTTCCAGGCAGCTCCACTGGTCTAAGCTTCAGGAAAGAAGAGCCTAGGCATCTGGTCAGTTTCAAGGACTTCCTGAAGCTTCTGAGTTGTTTACTTTCTGAATCTTTAGGAGCCTTAATATGTCATATGATAGCTGATTTACTGTTGTAATATAAAAGAACAATGGGCCCTAGACATGTCATGCATGAGCTAAGTCAGAAACATATGAACAGGTTTGTGTCTTTCCACAATGTATAAATTAGTTTATTTTGACACAGGCTCTCATACAGCTCAGGCTAACCTCAAACTATGTGGCACACTATGACCTCGAACTTCTGATCTTCCTGCTTTCATCTCCCCAGTGCTAGGATTACAGGCACAAGCCACCATGCCTGGTCTATGTGGTATTGCAAATCAAACCTAGGGTTTTGTCCATACTAAGCAAGCATATTACCAACAGAGCTATATCCCTAGCCCCCAAATTTATTGAATAACAATAAATGCACAAAGTTCAGCATTTTCATTGGCAGCAACTGCCAGATAGTGCCACTTTAATTGATAAGCCTGCACAGGCAAAAATAGATTCTTTTGTTCCAATTTTAACTAGTAATGCTAACTTTCAGAGAACACATTACACACCATGTAGTGATAGCTAACTAGCTATCTGTCTACAAAGGTTAAAGGGGCCTCAGCAGAATTCAAGAAGTTTTTTATGGGTTTTTTTTGTAATTTTTTAATTTAATTTTTGTGTATTTCATACAGAACATCTTTTGTGTTGTTTTTGTCTTTTTGAGACAGGGTCTCCCCGTATGCCCAGCTGGCCTGGAACTCACTATGTAGACCAGGCTGGCCTCAAACTCACAGAGATCCACCTGCTTCTACTTCCCGAGTGCTGGGACTAAAGGTGTGTGCCACCATACCCGGCACAGAACGTCTTTTTTAATTTTATTTATTATTTTTATTTTATGTGTACGAGTGTATTGTCTGCATGTATGTGAGTGCACCTGTGTCATGCAATGCTGCGGAGATCAGAAGAGGGCTTTGGATTCCCCTGGAACTGGAGTTAAGGACAATTCATAGGCTCCATGTGGGTGCTGGGAATCGAACATGGGTCCTCTGCAAGAGCAGGCAGTGTTCTTAACTGCTGAGCCATCTCTCCAGCCCCCATACAGAACATATTAATCATCTTTATACCCCCTTCCAAATTGGTACCCTCCCATACCCCACTGGATGTCATGCATTCTGTCATTTGTGTTAAGGCCTATCAAGTTAAGTTAGCATCCCCAGATGTCCCTCAGTGCAAGTTCATCCACCGAGGGCTAGTCAGCCTATCTAGAGTCCCTTCCTTTAAGATCAGCTCTTCCTTACCCAGCATGAATCAGCTGCCAGTACTAGGTCTTTGGCTAAGACTGGGGCCTGCTGTCCATTTCCATTTGCATTAGTATTCTCTCTACCTCTTGTTCCACTATGTTCCGTGAACCTTAGGTATAAGGGTCCATTATAAATGTGTCACTTAGGGTTAGGCAATTCATAGACAATCTGTGTGTGTGTGACCAATTGTGGAACTCTGTAATAGACTCCATCTGTTGCAAAAGAAACTTCTTTGATAAGTGGTGACTGGCATACATGTCTGTAAATATAAGGATCCATAGTTAACGCATAGTAAGAAATTACATTTGTCTAGAGTTGTGACAGCCTTTGTTTGGATTTTCTCTAAGATCCATTACCACTAACCATGTGTATTTGGGTATGTTTACAGTACCACACAAGAGTTTCCTCCCACTGAATGGGCTTTAAGTTCAATTAGGTAGCTGTTGATTATCCCTAAGATAAAAGTACCACTACTGCCCCAATAAAATTTGCTGTGCCAGTCATTGTTGTAGTTATTAGGCCTTAAAGCTGAGGTTGTATCATCAATTGATGTCCTCCCTTAGCAGCTTGCATAGTGGTCTCCAAAACCGAGAGCTAGCCTTCAGAGAGGGATATTATTTTTATTTTATGTGTATTTTTTTGTCTTTTTGAGACAGGGTCTCTCTGTAGCTGCAACTGGCCAGGCCTTGAACTCAGAGAGATCTGCCTGCCTCTGCCTCCCAAGTATTGGGACTAAAGGCATGTACCACCATGCCTGGCTTTATTTTATGTGCATTTTATGAGTATTGCTTGCATGTATGTACATGCATCCACGTTGTACAGTGCCTGTGGAGGTCAGAAAAGGGTGTTGGATCCCCTGGAACTGTCATTACAGACAGTTGTTAACAACCACGTGGGTTCTGGGCATTGAGCCCAGGTCCTCTGCAAGAGCAGCCAATGCTCTTTAACTGCTGAGCCATCTCTAGCCCAAAGTTCAAGAAGTTTTAAAGAGGGCTGAGAGGTAGAAGACAGGAAGCTGATAGGATGCCCATAATGAATCTTGCTGGAGGTCTGCTGGAGTCATTGATGCTGTAGTTAGGCTTCTGCCAGGTTACAGATTATAGGTTTTACTGGAGTTACAGAATTGAAGAGGTGGAAGGAGCCAAGGAGCAAGATCTGTTTAGCATTGTCTTTGCCTACATAGCAAGTTTGAGACCAGCCTGTGCCACATGAGGCCATGCCTTAAAAATAAATAAAGAAATAAAGAAATAACAATTTAAAATAAGTAAATAAAGATATAGGGACCAGTGAAATGGCTCAGTGGGTAGCTACTAAGGCTGAGGACCTGAGTTTGATCCCCAGAGTCCACACAGTGGAAGTGTTGCGGGGGCCTTGGGATGTCTAGGAGATCTGCTGAGTTTGTTTTGTTGGAAGAACAAAGAATTGGATGTTCCAGAAAGTCAGAAGAGCCCTAAGTACACAAAAAAGTGAAAGTGATAGCCCCAGAAGCAAGAAAGTGACCAGCAGGAGGAAGGGGGATGCGGATGCTCAGACTCAGAGAACACAGAAGCAATAGCCACACAAGGAGAAGGAAAGCGAAAGGACAGACTTTATTAGAGCAGACAGCTCCCACCAGAATGTGAGGAGCCCCAGAGCTGAGAGTCCATATGAGGCCCTGGGTGGAACCTATTATCTGATCCTATGCCACCACCCCCTTTTCCTGCTCTCCCCACCTTCTCCCTCCTATTGGGATGTCCTCCCTTATGTGGATAGCCTCCCTGTGCGGTGTCCTCCCTTGTGGATTCTTCCCACCAGTGGGCTTTTTCTTTCTTGCTATCAGTAGTTGAAACAATTGCAAAATACTTGGGTAACAAAAAACAACCCTGGTGGCAAGAAGCAGCCCCTATTAAAGGGGTGGGCCCTGCTTTCTCATTTGACCTAAGTTCCCCTAACTCCTCAGAAGGAAAGAATCTACTCCCATAAGTTGTCTTCTGACCTATGCACACACAATAAAAAATATAGGGGCTGGAGAGATGGCTCAGCAGTTAAGAACACTGGCAGTTCTTGCAGAAGACCCAGGTTCGAATCCCAGCACCCACATGGCAGCTAACAACTGTCCATAACTTTAGTTCCAGAGGATCCAACTGCCTCTTCTGTCCTCTCCTGGCATTTTATGACTTGGGTGCACTTACACACATGCATGCACACAAAATAAAAATAATAAAAAATATTTTTTAAAACATACAATGAAAAAATGTAAGCACATGGTAGAAGCTAGAGAGAGTTTATAATGTCAAAGAAGTCTTTGGAGTCAGAATCTCAGTATTTAGCTCAGGCTGACCTGGAACCTCTGAGTTCAAGGGACCCTCCTGCCTTGTCCTCCAAGAAACTAACATTGTGCACTTCTTATCAAGGAACTCTTATAAGATTATAGGTATGACATCTTTTTGAAGAGAGAATAAAGAGTCTAATTGTAGTCCCACATCACTTTTTTATGTCTTTTAAAAAAATATTTCAGGACCAGAGAGTCATGGCCACCAGTGGCCCAGAGATAATTGTGGGTACCCCCAGCCCGAGGGGCCCGCCAGACGAGCCCACCAGGCAGCTCTCAGGAGCACGCCATGGCACCCACCCGGGGGTCCACACACGGCCGGCTATGACCTGTACAGTGTCTGATGATTATACAGTACCACCTATGGAGAAAGCCATTGTGAAAACAGACATTCAGATAGCTGTTCCTTCTGGGTGCTGTGAAGAGTAGCTCCCCATTCTGGCTTGGCTGTAAAATACTTCATAAATGTAGGAGTTAGTGTCATAGATGAAGATTTTAGAGGAAATGTTGGTGTTGTGCTGTTTAATTTTGGGAAGGAGAAATTTGAAATTAAAAAAAGGTACTCGAATTGCCCAGCTCATTTGTGAATGAATTTTTTTCTTTGCAATCCAGAATTAGAAGTTCAGACTTTGGATTATACTGAAAGGGGTTCAGGTTTGTTTTTTTTTTTCATTAAAAAGAATTGAAATTTTGACCAAGAATAAAAAATGGAAAAAAAAAAACCTGTTTTTTCCTAAAAAAATAGAGATTTGCTTGAAATTTAAATTTTTTTACTATTTTATGTGCATGTATATTGCTTGCATGTAGGTAGATGCTTTTGTGTCGTGCAGTACTCTCAGAGGTCAGAAGAGAGTGTCGGATTCCCTGGAACCGGAGTTACACACAGTTATTAGTCCCCACGTGGGTACTGGAAATCAAACCTGGGTCCTCTGCAAGAGCAGTCAGTTAAGATGGCTCTTAACCACGGAGCCATCTCTCCAGCCCCTCTTTTTTTCGTGTCTTATTTTGGTTTCCCCAGGGGTAGACCTTGAGGCAAGGATTAAAGCACAAGTACTTTTTTTAAGGAAACTATCTCAAGAAACAGTTGGCGGAAGTATGATAAGAAAAGGAAGGCAGACAGAAAAAAATACATCATTAAGCGAATCTGTATGGGCATCTGGAGCTCAACCCCACTAGGAAACTCTGGAACTCTGATTCATCACAGCTAAAGGGTTAAGGGTTTCTGTCCAACTCTCAACAGTTCTTTCTTTAAATATAATGTAAAATGGGGGCCTGGAGAGATGGCTCAGCAGTTAAGAACAGTAGTGGTTCTTGCAGAAGACCCAGGTTCGAATCCCAGCACCACATGGCAGCTAACAACTATCCGTAACTCCAGTTCCAGGAGATCTGACAGCCTCTTCTGTCTTCCGTGGGCATTGCACGACAATGGGTGCACTTACCTGCATGTAGGCAATACATGCATACACATACAAATAAAAATAATAAAATATTTTAAGTAAATAAATATAATGTAAAATGTATCCACTTCTGGTTTGGGTTTATAATTTCCTGAATGTCTAACATTGTACATCTTTTCATATACTTATTAGCAATTTATCTTCTTTGGAGAAATGTATATTCAAATCTCCTATGTAGAACAGGCTGGTCTCGAACTCACAGAAATCTACCTATCTCTCCCTGGAACTAATGATGTGCACCACCACACCCAACTAGGTTGTCTTTATTTTTTTAAAGAGTTCTTTATGAATTGTGAACACAGCTCTTTATTTAATATCTGATTTGCAGATATTTCTGTCCAGGCTGAGCTGTTTTTGCATTCTGCGGGATATCTTAAAATTTAGATCTCTTCCATCACATTTTCTTTTATTGTTTGTTGTTTTTAGTATTATATGCTTTTGGTATTGTATGTTTTGGTATTTGTATGCTTTTGGTATTGTATGTTTTGGTATTTGTATGCTTTTGGTATTGTATGTTTTGGTTTGCTTGTTTTCTTCAGGAATTGAAGGAACTAGGTTGCTCAGCTCAGAGAAGATTGAACCAAGGTGAAATGTGATAGTTGTATAAGGTACTTTGGCTGGGAAGGGAAAGAGTCTGATAAGAAATCTCCAATATGAGAGGGGAGTGCTGGAGGCAATGGCAGACCACACAAAAAAGAAGATTCTTGAATCCTGCATTGTACCCAAAATTGAAAATAACCCAGCCCCATTAGAAGTTTTCTTTGACATGTTGTTGATGTGATATCCATACAAATTTATCATCTTATAGTTTTGGTTAACATATACAACAATCGTTAGTAAATGTCAGCTGTTGCCCAAAGTCAATTCAGTAATAACCTTTGCCTATATTTTTTTTCTGACAAATTGTATAGCACATGATTTCATCGAAACAAATTGCTAGTTGATTCCTTTTAATAGGAAGACTAAATATTAATTTATGTATATTAGTTTTAGTTTTGTTTTTTTTTTTAATTTTATGTGTATGTGTGTATTGCCTGCATGTAGGTAAGTGCACCCATGTTGTGCAATGCCAGTAGAGGTCAGAAGAGGTTGTTGGATCCACTGGGACTGGAGTTACGGACAGTTGTTAGCTGTCATGTGGGTGCTGGGATTCAAACCCAGGTCTTCTGCAAGAACAACCAGTGTTCTTAACCAGAGCCATTTCTCCAGCCCCATTCCTTTATATTTTTAAGTCTGCCCCTCAGCCCTTTATCCTGTAGCTTTCAGAACTCTATTTTATGTGTATGAGTGTATTGTCTGCATGTGTAAGTGAACCCATGGCATGCAGTGCCTGCAGAAGTCAGAAGAGGGCATTGGATACCCTGGAACTGGAGTTACAGACAGTTGTTAGCTGCCATATGGGTGCTGGGAATCAAACCTGGGTTTTCTACAAGAGCAGTCAGTGCTCTTAACCACTGAGCCATGTCTCCAGCCCCCAAGATTTATTTATTTTTATTTTATGTGTATGAGTATTTGCATGTGTGTAAGTGCACTATGTACATGCAATGCCTGCAGAGAGCAAAAGAGGGTGTCAGATCTGGAACTGGAGTTACAGTTGTTAGCTCCTTGTAGGTGCTGGGAGTCCTCTGGAAAAGGAGTAAGTGCTCTTAACTCACTGACTGTTTCTAGCCCCATAAAATAATTTTTAGGGCCAAAATAAAATAAAAAGGCAACCAACAAAAAGACAAAAATAAATAAATAAATAAATTAATTAATTAATTAAAACTTTAAAAAACAAAAGAAAAACTTATGCCAAACTCTGTACCATTTTATTTAAATCCTAAAAGATAATTTTATTTTAGTTTGATATATTCATTGATTTTCTTTCAAATATGAAATCTACCCAGCATTCTTTGTATAAACCCAATTGATCATAATGCATTGTTATTTTAATATATTGTTGGATTCAGGTTACTAAAATTGTCTACTAGACTTGAATGTATGTTCATGGGAGGTATCAACCTACAGTTTTTAACAGTTTTGGTCTTGAGAGAAGGGTAACACCAATTTCAGTTAAGTTGGGGAGCTTGGCATAGTTGTGTGCCCCTAGTTACTGGAGAAGCTGAGGCATGAAGATCTTAAATTTGATGTCAGCCTAGAACATAGACCTGTCTCAAAAAACAGTTGGAAAGTGTTTCTTCTTAACCTTTTAGATAGTATTTCTTCCTTAAATGTTTGGTGGAGTTTTGAAATGAAACTATTTAAAATTGGAGTTTTCTTTATGGGAAGGTTTGTAACTATGATCTCAACTTCTTTCATAAATATTATTTAGGTTATCTGTTCTTAGATGAGTTTTGATGATTTCTATCTTTAAAAGCAATTGGTCCATTTCATCTAAATTGTTGAATCTGTAGGTATGAAATTGTGCATAAAACTTCCTTTTGAATATCTTCGGAATCTACAGCAATTATTTACTTATTTATTTATAAGGTATATTAGTTACTTTTCTATTGCTGTAATAAGACACCATGAACAAGGCAACTTACAGAAGGAAGAATTTATTTGAAGTTTCGGTTCCAGGAGTAAGGGTCCATGATGGCAGGGCGGCATAATGGAAGGAGGTGGCTGAAGCAGGAAACTGAGCAGTCAGATCTTCAAGCAGGCACAGGAAGCAGAGAAAGACAGGAAATCTGGCAAGGCTTAAGAACTCTCAAAACTCATCCCCAGTGACATGCTTCCTTCACCAAGACCCTCCCCAAACAGCTCCACAGAAGGGACCAAGTGTCCAAATACTTGGAGCCTAGAGGAGAGGGTATTTTCATTCACATCACCACATAAACGTCTCACTCTATAGCCTAGGCTGGCCTGGAACTCAGTACGTAGCCCTTGGATTTGTGGAGATCCTTCTGCCCTAGCCTCCTAAATTCTGGGATTACAAGTGTACACCATCATGCCTGGATCTTCTCTCTCACATCTGACATTGGTAAATTTGTCTGTACTCATATTATCCAAATTACGTTGGCTAGAGGATTACCAGTTTTATTGGTCTTTCAAAAGAACTTGACCTTTTGTTTTTCTATTTTACTGATTTCAGATTTTGTCTTTCTAATTCTCTTTCCATGCTTGGCCTTAGTTGGCTCCTTTTCTAGTTTCTTAAGGTGGACACTAGGCCATTGATTTATGAACAGTTTCTTTTCTTATATAGGTATTTAGTACTATAAATTTTCTCATAAACACTACTTCATTAATATCCTATAAATTCTAAAATGTTGTATTTTCATTTTCATTCAGTTCATTAAAATGGCAGCTATTTAAACCAGTATAGCTTTACTTAAAGAGAATATTTGTATTTTCTATATTTGTATTTCATGGGAAGGTAATACCAAGGAACTATAAGAAGTTCATTTTAAGTCTTTGTTATTTACAATATGTCTTCTTGCTGGGTGTGGTGACATATGCCTTTAATCCCAGCAATCAGGAGGCAGAGGCAGGTGTATCTCTGTGAGATCACGGTTAGTCTGGTCTACATAGTGAGTTCCAAGTCAGCTAGGGTACAGGGAGACCCTGTCTCAAAAAGAAAAAAAGAGAAATCCCACATCTTTTTTTCTTTTGCTCTGTTTGAGACAGGATCTACCTGTAGCCCTAGCTGACCTGGAACTTGCTATGTAGACCAGGCTGGCCTCGATCTCACAGAGATCCACCTTCCTCTGCCTCTCAAGTGCTGGGACTAAAGGCATGTGTCATTATACCCGGCTTAAATCCAATTCTTTTTATATATTTATATTAATTGGATTATAAGGCTAATACATATGTATTATTTTAAAAATCATATCAAAGATATATAGTTACAAAACAGAATTTGAATTATTGGTCTTTGAAAAAAAACTTTAGGTTTAAAATAATAAAATTTTTCTTTTGTAGGAATAAAGACTGACCTGAACTTATTATTGGAGTGTCTAAAGTATCAGATGAACAACCCTTCATCACAAAAGGAAGTTTTGGTTACTATTCATTCAGTTTGTCAACTAAACAGTAAGACATGATAGTGAACTTTTATTTATGACCGACCTTCCTTCCTTCCTTCCTTCCTTCCTTCCTCCCTTCCTTCCTTCCTCCCTTTGTCCCTCCCTCCCTCCTTCCTTCCTTCCTTCCTTCCTTCCTTCCTTCCATCTAAGTAACCCTGGCAGGCCTCAAACTCTTGCCTAACTTAGCCTCCCCAGCACTGGGCTTGCATACATGTATAACCACAACCCACTCTGATTCTAGTTCTTGCCATTCTTTAGTACTGTAGTTTATAGATGGATAGATAGATAGATAGATAGATAGATAGATAGATAGATAGATTGTCGATAGATAGATAGATAATAGACAGATTGAAAGATAGAAGATAGATAGATAGATAGATAGATAGATAGATAGATAGATGATAGACAGATTGAAAGATAGAAGAAAGATAGATAGATAGATAGATAGATAGATAGATAGATAGATAGATAGATAGATGTTTCTCTTCAGCATTTTCTTCATTTGATTTTTTTTTTTTTTTTATTTTTTTGAGACAGGGTCTCCCTGTAGCCAGCCTCAGCTGTCTTGGAACTCAACTATGTAGACCAGGCTGGCCTTGAACTCACAGAGATCCACTGCCTCTGCCTCCCAAGTGCTGGGATTAAAGGTGTGTGCCACCATGCCTGGCTCATTTGATTTTTTTTTAATCTTAAATAGAATATTCAAAGTAAATAGCATTTCTATTTTGTTTTGTCTGAAAACCTTGCAGGTAATGCAGGTCTTTATTTCCGGGAAATTGGTGGTTTGATATTTGTAAAAGATCTTGCAAAATCCAGTGAGCATAGCATGGTGAAAGAAGCAGCCTTATATGTATTAGGAGTTGTTGCAGAAGGAAATGGTAAAGTACAAAATTTTATTTGTTGTCCTCTAAGCATTGTATTATAATTAAATAATTGTAGTATTTTGTTCCTTTTTTAAATGGTTTAATCCAAAACCATCTTGTATGCTTTGGGTATAGACATTCATTTTGGCCAAAACAGTTTTTTGCAATATACTTGAAATGAATTTGAATCTACACCATCAGTTTGTCAAACCAATTTTATATTTTTATATGTTCATTAATTATGTCTTCATTAACTGTTAAGAATCAAGCTCTGTGCTAGGCATTGAGGGTGTAGGGATGAACTATCTAGCCTTAGAAATAGGGTTTAGGGGGCTGGAGAGATGGCTCAGTGGTTAAGAACACTGAATGTTCTTGCAGAAGACCCAGGTTCGAATCTCAGCACCCACATGGCAGCTAACAACTGTCTGTAACTCCAGTTCCAGGGAATCTGCCTCTTCTGTCCTCCTCAGGTATTGCATGACACAGGTGCACTTACCTATGTGCAAACAGTACATGCATACACATAAAAATATTAAAATAATAAAAAAAATTTTTTTGGTCTTTTTGAGACAATATCTCCCTGTAATCCCAGCTGTCCTGGAACTCACTGTGTAGACCAGGCTAGCCTTGAACTCACAGAGATCCGCCTGCCTCTGCCTCCCAAGTGCTGGGACTAAAGGTGTGCGCCACCACGCCCGGCTAAATAAAATATTTTTTAAAAAAGAAATGGGGTTTAGTAGCGGTGCCAGGTCCTGAATATTTGTTATATTATTGTGCTCAAATTATCTTTTAAAAAATATTTATTATTTATATTTTTGTGTATGAGTGTATTGCCTGTATGTATGTAAGTGCACCTGTGTCATGCAATGCCCATGGAGGTCAGAAGAGGGTGTTGGATTCTCCTAAACTGGAGTTACTGATGGTTGTTAGCTGCCATGTAGGTACTGGGAATCAAACTTGCGTCCTCTGCAGCTGCTCTTAACTGCTAAGCTATACCTCTTTTTGAGACAGAGTCTCTCTATAGTCCCAGTTGACCTAGAACTGATGATATAGACCAGGCTGGCCTCCATTTCATAGAGATCCACCTGCCTCTGCCTCTCAAGTGTTGGGATTAAAGGTGTGTACCACCATACCTAACTCTTTTTTTGGTCTTTTTGAGACAGGGTCTCCCTGTAGCCCCAGCTGTCCTGGAACTCACTACATAGACCAGGCTGGCCTTGAACTCACAGAGATCCACCTGCCTCTGTCTGGGATTAAAGGTGTGTGCCACCACGCCTGGCCACACCTAACTCTTTAATTTTTTTGGTGTTAGAGATTGAGCCCAGTGCCTCATATATCTTAAGCACATGCTCTATTACTGAGCTATAACCCCAGCGTCCAAATTACTTGTACAAAATCCTACATATGAGACCAAGTCTTACTAGGTAGCTTAGGTTGACCTGGAACTCACAGTTCTGCCTCAGCCTCCTGAGTAGCTGTTATTACAGATGTGGGGAAGGATGCTGGCTCTCAGGTTTGAGGGTTATTTTTGTTTCCTGATTTTTTTCTTTGAGGGAGGGGATGTGAAGATCTTGCTATGTTGCACAAACTGGCCTTGACATCACAATTCTATTTTTCCTCCTAAGCATTGGTTTTTCTTGTTGTTGTTGTTTCCCACCCCACTTGGAAGTCACTATGTGGGCGAGGCTGGCCTTGACCTTACAGAGATCCTCCTGCCTCCACTTCCCAGGGCTGGGGTTAAAGTGCCTCCCAAGCATTGGGATTGTAGTATGCCCAGTGTCATTTTTGAGTTTTGAAAAGACTTTTATTACTCCAAAAGTCTCAAGAAATAGCACAAAAATTGCCTGTCCCTGATTCCCAAAGCAGACACCTGGATTTTCTTGTTTTTCTTTCTTTGGTTTTTACTCCTCTTCTCAAAAATTTTTGGTCTAATTTTAATATTTTATTTGGTTAGAATTTTATTGGCAATTCTAGGATACTTAAATGTGTACTTTGGAGTTTAGGTCAAGTACTTTTGATTAAGATTGCTACTTAAAGACTGGCTATATGACTCAGTGGGTAAAGGTGCTTGCTGGTAAGCCTGGCAACCGGAGTTTGATCCCTGACCTATATAGTAGAAGGAGAGAACCAGTTCTTTTAAGTTGTACTCTGAGCCCCACATGAGTACTGTGTTGTACATGCCTGCACACACACATACACAAACATACAAATGTGGGGTTTGGGGGTTGATTTTGTTGTTGTTTTCGGTTTTTGTGAGACAGGGTCTTCCCATAGTCTTAGCTGAACTGGAGCTTACTGTGTAGACTGGCTTTGAGCTCACAGAGATCTACCTGTCTCTGCCTCCCAAGTGCTGGGATTAAAGGTGTGTGCTGCCATGTACAGCAAATACATGAAATTTGAAAAATATTTTTTAAAAGATAGTGTAGCTTTCATCTGCCACTTAAGTAACCGTGTTTCATTTTGTCAAAAATTTTGTGTTTCTAATAAGTATCAATTAAATGAGATTCAGTTGAGAACCATCCCCAGTTTGACAACATTATATTTTGTTTAGCATATTTTCAAACTGGTTTGTGTCAGTATATTAAAATGAAAATTGTATTTTATGTTTCAGTTTACTGTCAGGAAACTTTGTGTACTTCAGAGGTCTTCAAAGACTTGACTTTGCTCTTATCTAATGATGATTCAAACACAAATTTGAAAAGAATGTCTTCCTATGTTCTTTTGGTTCTGGTTTCAAATAATCGTAAGTACATATTCTTCTGAACATTTAAACATGTTAAGATTCTTGGACTAGTCATTGCTACTTCTGTTCTAGTCATTCTGGTTGTACGTGACTTTTTAACTCATTGACTTCTAAGAGATACTAGCTTTAACAAAGGAATTATAGTGTCCATTTAATCTCTTGATATTTGTTAATTTTAAGAAATAATAAAGTGATTGGTACTACCTAACAATCACCAAAATGAAACAGCTTTAAAAGGAAAAAGAGAAGCATTTAATGAATTGGTTGACTTTATTGAATTGACCATTTTGGGATGTTTTTGGTCTTTTTGAACTCGCTATGTAGACCAGGCTGGCCTTGAACTCACAGAGATCCGCCTGCCTCTGCCTCTCAAGTGCTGGGTTTGTTACAAGGTTTACTGTATTTACCATCAGTGGGTCTTATTTTGGGATAATTGTAGATTTAAAGCAGTTGAAAATATATAGTATACAGTGTTCCTGTGTACCTAATTAAGAATTTGTGTTTGTCAGTGTATGTGTGTAAATGCATGTGTGCCTGTGTGTGGAGGCCAGAGGTTGATGTCGAGTGTCTTCTTTAGTCACTTTCTACCTTTTTTTGAGATAAAGTCTCTCCCTGAGCTAGAGCTTGCCAGTTTAGCTAGACTGACTGGCCAGCAAGCCCCAGGGATGCTCTAATCTCTGCCACCCCAGTGCTTGAATTACAGGTGCAGACACCCAGCTCTTTTTTTATTTCTTTTTTACAGTGGGTGCTGGGGATCAAACTCAGGTCCTCATGCTCATGCTGCAAGCACCTTACTGACTGAGCCATTTTCTCAACCCTTAGTGTTTTTTTTTAATATTGCTTCATTTAATCTTCAAATTGTTAGATACTTGAAATGCTTCTAGATTTTATTTTTGCTACTTTGAAAAACCTGAAAAAAATAGAATGATTTTTTTCCGCTTTGGAGACTATTTTAACATTGTAACAGAATCATAATGTAACACAGCATTTCATAATTTTTAGAGGAAGTTTGAATGTTATCAGTCTCTAAGCATAGTGTATTTTCATAATAAATTTAATTACAGATATGTTGTTGGTTTTGTTTAAGACAGGGTCTCCCTGAAGCCCCAGCTGGCCTGAAACTGGTTATGTAGACCAGGCTGTCCTTGAACTCACAGAGACCTACCTGCCTCTACCTCTTCCTCTGCCTCCCAACAGTTGGTCTGGAATTCACCATGTAGACCAGGCTGACTTCCATCTCACAGAGATCTGCCTGCCTCTTGCCTCCCAAGTGCTAGGATTAAAGGCATACACCACCAAACCTGATTTGATTATAGATTTTTACCTATAATTCTGTGTGCTTTGTACTACTTTGATAGCTTAAAGCTATTTAAGTGTTGTTTTTTCATGGTAATTAAAAGTACCAGACTGGTGGAACTAACCTTCTTGAATGTTTAACAGACATACTTTGAGACCTATACTAATTTGATCAGAGGGACATAAAGGACAGTTTTTGCTCCTTGCCCTCCTAGGTCAACTAGTTCCAGGGGTATATGAGTATCTCTCAAAATGTCCTATAATTGTGGTGAGTCACCTGTCCTGTTGATCAAGAGGCCATGGAGACCCCACAAGATGGACTTGAACTGGTGTCCAGTCTACAAAAAGGAGGGTCAACACAGCGGAAACATTTCCTCCGTGTTTCCAAGCAAAGCCAGCCATGAGTAGGACCTTTGACTTATTGTCACATAGGCGGAACTGGTAAAAGGAGCCAGGGGCTCCTCCCAAGCCCATGTGACCCCTGAGGAACAGATCTTCAAACGGCCTTAAGAGTAAAAATAAATTGGTTTATCTGAGCCAACTGTATGGCCTTAAACATCCAAAAGGAAAGTATAACCAAAGATTAAAGGGGCCAATATAATTTTTTAACAGTCCATATGTATAGCTGAAGGCTACATAGCAAGAAACAATGCCAGATAGGAGATACCTTCTTTTGAGTTGTTGGCCAGGCTGGCCCAAGAGACTCCTAGATAGTAACCCAGCATAGAACTGGGAAAATGAGCAGCAGACCCCAATCTTATCTAAAGGAATATTGACAACTGATTGCTGCTAGATGAGGAACAGCTGACCTTCCTGAAACAAAGACCTCTAGATAGGCTGACTAGATTCACCAGATGGACAAGTAGTGGGGAATGGCTGGGGGTGCTGACACACAGCAGACAGTAGCAGGGATAACAGAGTATAAGGGCTCTAGTGGGAGGGGGAGGTTATGAGAGGGTGCCATCTGGGAAGTGGATATATAGATGAATAAGATTGTTTGGGATGTTCTGTGTGATAAACACACCAAAAAATCAACAAATTAAAAAAATGAGGAGGAAGCATAAAAATTTATGTCAGGTTAATTAGTAGAGGTGATAAATATTACCATTGAAATCTACCCGATGACTTTATATCCATACACGGGTGCCAAGGATCCACGTGCAACTGACCGTGACTAGTAATAATCAGGTACATACAGATTAGAGATGCATCTAAGTGTTATTAGCAAAAACAATGAGTTTATAAGAAACAGTATATTTTAAAATGAAATGGAGATCTTTTTTAAAGGTTAAAAACTCATTCAATTTTATGTCTTACAGGGTTTATACTGAGTTCAATATTGTATAACTGTATTAATTCAACTGTGAAACTAAAAATTTTATAGCCACTTTTGAAAGAGATGTATCTTTGCTCTGGAAATTGTTATTGAGTACGTTAAAGCTGTAATGAAATGCTTCTTCTTAAAAAAAAAACTAAGCGTTGTTTTAAATTTTTGCAAAATTATTCCTAAGTAAAAGTCACATTCATGTAATATATGACTCTTTTTTAAGGGACTGGACAAACGCTTGTGAGAGAAACAGGTTGTATTGAAGTTCTGTCACAGTTGTTCAGGTAAGTTAATAAAATTTCTTATTATTCATTGCTTAAGATCTAAATGGATTTAAAATGATTTATTGTCTTCTTTTTAACCAACCTAATAGGACAGTTCTTTCAGATTATGAGTTGGATTTGTCAGATAATAATGTTTTCCAGAGTTACCAGTTGTGGTCTTCAGTGTGTGGGACTCTGTGCGTCTGTGTCAACAATCCTCAAAACGGTAGTTATCAGATATTTAACTATAAATTAAAAAAGGAAAACTGATATTTTTAAATGTCAAATGAAAATATGATTGACTTTCCTCCTTTCAGATGAGAATCAGATGTTTTGTTGTTGCCTTTTTTCACATGCTAATAAATGGCTAATGAATTGCATGAAGACTGAGATCATTCGCCCTATATGCTCAGTCATTGGACTTACTCTTGCCAACAACAGTAGGTATTCACTTTCTGGGTCATTCTTTAAGAAACATTTTTAAAGCAGAACAAAAAGTATTGAAATCATTATTTCATTAATTCAATTAATGAATTTTGCACTTTTAATTTGGGCCATTTGGGGTGGATGCTGACCCTTGAAGGTAAGAAAAATTTGAAAGTAGATATTATTGGGAGCATATTGGAAAGACGGTGGCAGTAGCATAGTTGTTTCTTGGTAGGTGGAAGCTGCTCATGCAGCCCAGATTGGCTTAGATCTCACTATGTAGTTGGGGGAGGACCTTGAGCTGCTGACACTCCTGTCCCCACCTTCCAAGTGCTGAGATTATAAGCACATGCTACCATACCCAGCCTGCAGTATAGTTTTTTTCATCTCCTTAGATACCCTCTAGAAACAGGACAGTGAGATAACAAACCTAAACCCCATAGAATGTACAGTCTGGAATTAAATTAGAAATGAACAAATATCGTGATGACCTGAGTTTGATCCCTAGAACCCATGTAAAGGTGCAAGGAGAGAACAGACTCCACAAAGTTGTCCTCTGACCTATGCACAGAGCATACAATATTAATAAATAAATGCATTTAAAATATGAACAAAAACACCTTGAAAAGTGGAAATAACTAGTAATTAAAGACTTAGATGTCTTGAGAGTGGTGGGAGCCTGAGTGAGGAGGACTGCCAAAAGTTCAAGGCCTGCGTCAAAGAATCCAAAGTGCCAATGTCAGCCTGAAAGGTGACATCACTCTGGATCTTAATATATATTAAAAGGTTAATAAAACAATAGTAAGAAACAATGTTATGCCACGAAATTTGAGAATTCTGATAAATTTGACAAATTCTTTAAAATATACAAATTACAAAACTTACTCAAAAGAACCAGGTAATTCAAATGTATTGTTTGTTTATTGTTTTTTCAGGACAGGGTTTTGTTTAGCCCAGACTGGCCTCAAACTTGCTATGTAGCTGAGGCTGGCCGTAAACTGATCCTTCTTCCACCTCCCAACTACTGAGATCACAGGTGTGTGCCAACACACCTGATTTTATATTTCTGTGTCAAAGGAACAGAATTCTTAGTTTAAAGCCTTACTAAACCTGTGAATTTCATGGCCTGATAATTTTACTGGTGAATTCTACTAAACATTTCAGGAAAGAAAAATCCAAAAGCAATTCTACATAAATTATTTCCAGAATAGAAGTGGAAAAAACACTTGTGAACACATTCTATAAGGCTAGCATTACACCCACACCAAAAAAGGCAACACAAAATACCTACAGGCCAGTATCTCTTATGAACATTGATATAAAAATACTATTTGTTGCCGGATGTGGTAGCACACGCCTTTAATCACAGCACAGGCAGAGGGAGGCAGAGGCAGGCAGATCTCTGTGAGTTCAAGGCCAGCCTGGTCTACATAGTGAGTTCCAGGACAGCTGGGGCTACCCTGTCTCAAAAAGACCAAAAAAAAAAATACTATTTGCTTATTTGATACAGAGTCATATAGTCTAGGCTGGCTTTGTATTCTCTGCCTTCAAGAATAACCTTGAACCCCTTAATGTCCTGTATCCACTCTCCAAGTGCTGGGATTCGAGATGTGGGTTACAGTGCTTGGTTTATATGGTGCTTTGAATTGAACCCACCACTTTGTGCATGCTAAGGCAGCATTCTAACCAACTCAGAATTACATACCCAGCCCTAGATATTAAAATACTTAACAATGAGGCTGGAGAGATGGCTCAGTAGGTACAAACACTGGCTACTCTTGCAGAGGACTTGGGTTTGGTTCTCAGCACCTACATGGCAGCTAACAACCATCCTTAACTCCAGTTTCAGGGGGATCTGATGCCCCCTTCTGTACCCTGGAGGCATTGCATGCATGTAGTGTACTTATAAACATGCAGGCAAAACACTCATACACATAAAATAAATAAATAACCAGGCGTGGTGGTGCACGCTTTTAATCCCAGCACTCAGGAGGCAGAGGCAGGCAGATCCCTGTGAGTTCAAGACCAGCCTGGTCTACATAGTTCCGGGACAGCTGGGGCGACAGGGAGACCCTGTCTCAAAAAGACCAAAATAAATAAATAAATAAATAAATAAATAAATAATTTTTTTAAAATTTAGCAAAATATTTAAAAAGCAAACCTGGGCCAGGCATGGTAGTGTGTGTATACCTTTAATCCTAGCGCTTGGGAGGCAGAGGTAGATTTCTATGAGATCAAGGGTAGCTTAGTCTGCTTAGCAAGTTCCAGGACAGCTGGGGCTACAGGGAGACCTTGTCTCAAAAAGCCAAATAAATAATAAATAAATGAATAAATGAAAAGTAAAATTCAAGCATGGTTTGGTGGCTCATACTTAAAATCTCACCACTTGGGAAGCTAAGGCAAGAGAAGTTTGAATCTAGCCTGGTCTACATAATGAGTTCCAGGCCAGTCTGGGCTATAGCATAAGACTCTTCCTCGAACTTTTTTTTTCTGAAAATCTTAACTATATGAAGAAAGGACAATACATATGACTGAGTGACCTGTATCCTAGGAGTGCAAGATTGGCTTAGCATTATAAAACTTGCCATGTTCACAGACTAGGAAAGAAGAACTAGATGACAGTCTCAATAGTTACAGGAAAAGTACTATACATGATGCATCATATCTTCATAAGAACTCGATAAACTGGGAGCAGAAAGGCACTTATTTAATGTAATAAAAGGCCTATATATATACATATATACATAATTGCCAGTCTCACTTTTTTTTTTGGTCTTTTTGAGACAGGGTCTCCCTGTAGCCTCAGCTGGCCTCAAACTCACAGAGGTCCACCTGCCTCTTCCTCCTGAGTACTGGGATTAAACGCGTGCACCACCACTCCTGGCTAGTCTCACTATTTTTTACTTAACACTTTTATTGGATGTCTTAGCCAATGCAATAAGGCAAGAAATTGAAATAAAATGTATAGAGATTGGAAAGAAAAGAAATAATTATTTTCCCATAAATGACATGATGGTATATATAGAAAATCAAAAGAAGCTACTGTAAGTAATAATGATTTTAGGAAGAATGCAGGATATAAGGTCATACAAAATCATATTCCTAGATGCCTCAACAAATAATTGGAAACCTAAACTGGTTTGTGTGCTCATGTATGTGGGCAGTGTTTGTGTATGTGTGTACATGTGGCTGTAGGTACACTTGCCTGTGCATGCCCATGTGGAGGCCAGAGGATGGCTTCAGGTATCTTTCTCTGTCCTTCTCTACCATATATTTTAGATAACTTACAAGGAAGAAGGTCAATGCCTTGTGACTTTGGAACCTAATGCAAGGAAGTCCATCATGGTGGGACTGCATGACAGAAGCGACTGCTCATCTAGTCATACCAGGGAGGTGGAAACAGAAAGGTGCCAGGGTCCTAAAATTCTTCTCAATGGCACATCTCAATGACTTATTTCTATTCACACCTACCTCCTAAAAGAGTCCATGAGCTCCAAATAGCACTGGGAGCAAAGGACAAAGCCTTCCATACATGAGTCTCTGGGGAAGACATAAAATATATGCACTGCATATATTTCATTAAATTTACAACAAAGTAGTTGAGTTTTTAAAAAACTTTTTAAAAAAATATTTTTATTTATAACTTTTTTGTGTATTAGTGTATTGCCTGCATGTAAGTGCATCTATATCGTGCAATGCCCATGGAGATCAGAGGAAGGTGTTGGATCCCCTGGAACTGGAGTTATAGATATTTGCAAGCTACCATGTGGATGCTGGGAACCAAACTCTGGTTCTCTCCAAGAGTAGCCAGTGCTCCTAACTGCTGAGCCATCTTGCCAGCCCCAGCAGTTAAGTTAAAAAATTTTGTTTTCAGACAGGATATCCCTCTGTAGCTCAGGCTAGCTCAAAAATTCACTGTGTAACCCAGGTTGGCCTTGAATTCACTGCAATCCTGCCTCAGTCTCCCAAGTGTTGGGATTATAGTGTGAGCCCATCATACCTGGCTAGGGTTTTTTGATATTATTATAATCAATGGGGTCTAGGAAGATAACTCAGTGGGTAAAGTACTTGCCATAAGTACAACTGTAAGGACCTGAGTTCAGATATCCAATAACCCACATTAGAGCTAGACATGATGGTCTGCACTTGTAACTCTAGTGCCGGGGAAGCAGAGATAGGCAGATCCCAGGGGTTTGCTGGCTAGAAAGTCTAGCTGAAACGGCAAGTTCCAGATTCAGTGAAATAACATCTAAATTGTGGGGAGATATATAATGTTCATGGATTTTTTAAATTTTATACACACGTGTGTGTGCCTGCTTGTCTGTGTGTTGCATCACGTGCATACAGGTGTCCACAGAGTCCAAAAGAGAGTGTCAGATCCCCTGGAGCTGGAGTTACAGGTGATTGTAAACTGTGCCATGTGGGTGCTGGGAATTGGCCTCAGGTGTTCTGCAAGAGCAGCATGTGTTTTTAATTCCAGCACTTGACAGGTGGAAGCAGAGAAATCAGGAGTTCAGGCTAGTCTTAGCTGCATAAAAGGAGTTCAGTGCCTGCGTAGCCTACATGAGACTCTGTTTCAAAACAAAATTAATTAATTAAACACTTTTTTTCCGATCTTTTTGAGACAGGGTCTCCCTGTAGCCCCAGCTGGCCTGGAACTTGATATGCAGATCAGGCTGGCTTCGAACTCACAGAGATCTGCCTGCCTCAGCCTCCCAAGTGATGGGATTAAAGGCGTGCATAACCACACCTGGCTTATATTTTTAAGAAGGGGAACTGGAAATGTAGCTCAGTGGTAAAGTACTTATGTAGACTGTCCCAGCACTAAAATAGATTAAATAAATGTGTAATAAATGACTAGGGTAAAATTCTGGATATATTTTTAGGTTAATATCTATTATTGAACAAAATGAAAATTGACTTTTGCTTTAAAATTATCTTGCTTTAATTAATGGAATTAGGCTAAACTAGGAAAAATATTCGTGGCAGGATTTTAACTTCTAGTCTAGTATTCAATTATTTTAAGCCTGTTTCTAGAATGGCAACTGTAAAGATATTGAATTCAGAGATTCATGAGATACTTGCCATGAACATAATTTTCAAACTGAGGCATGGTGGTACATGTTTATAATCCCAACACTTAGGAAATGGTTAGCAGCAGGATGATCCTGCCTGTGAAGCCAGCTTGGGGTACAGAGTGATAACCTTGTCTCAAATGTGTGTGTGTGTGTGTGTGTGTGTCTGTGACTGTGTCTGTGTCTTTCACTAAATTGGAATAGTTATTATGTCTCGATATGTTAAGAGTTTTGTGCTCTGAGAAGGTATAAATAAGATGCATGTGTGTTTTTGGAACAATTAAGTGGTTTGCCTCTTGTAAATTCAAGCAATATGAAGTATAAGTTATGTTGGAATTCAGAAAATAGGCATCTTGCTGATTATAATGGCAAGATGAGTAAATGAATCTATTATTTTGTTGGTATAGTTGTTGAGGCTAACTAGGTCTTAAACTCAATATACTGCCTTTGCCTCTCCAGTACTATGATAGGTATATACCACTTTCCTACTCCCCACCCCCTGCTGAACCTGCTCTTTATAGCTCTAGTGAAAGACTTGTTTAACAATATTACAAAATACATCAATCCTCAGAAATGAAATATGTTTCCTACACATAACAAAGTACTGTTCTATTATACATATAATTTTTAAAATATTTTATTTATTATTTTTATGTGTATAAGTATATTGTCCACGTGTACGTAAATACACCCATGTCCTGTAGTGCCCTCGGAGGTCAGAAGATGGTGTTGGATCCCCTGGAACTGGAGTTACAGACGGTTGTTAGCCACTTTGTTGGTGCTAGGATTAGAACCCAGGTCCTCTGCAAGAGCAGCCAGTGCTCTTAACCACTGAGCCATCTCTCCAGCCTCACTTATACATATGTTGAAATGAAGTACTCCTGTATATGTATGTCTATGTGCATGTGTGTATACATAGATAGATAAATAAAATTTCTATTTTTAATTCTGTAATTTTTGGAGTTTTAGTATTTAAAAGCCAAATTAAATGTTATATTTAGTATAAATTAATTGAATGAAACCATGCACCAGTCTTTTGAGAATAGTTCTGTTACTTTATTCCTTAAGCTCATGTTCAGAAATGCTTTGTATCTGCTGGTGGACTGGATATATTATCTCAAGTTCTTGTGCGACTGGAGTCTGACTCACAAAAGACTGTTTCCAGTGCTAAGCTTGCGGTGGTAGTGACAAAGACTGTGGATGCATGTATTGCTAATAATCGTGAGTGAAAATGTTTAGATTTCCTGTAACTGAATTTTGTTTTAATTGAACATGCTAACTGTTGAAATGCTACATTAAGGCACCATGGTCGAGTACATTTCCAGTTTCTTACGAATGCAAAGAAATCTTAGAAATGACCTATTGTCATTCTTTATTTTCCCAGAGAAGTTACAGCTTTTCTAAGAATTCATATCTAAGTATTCTAACTTCAGGTCTAATGATTGAATCAAAATAAGAGCCTGTCATTCCTAAATATTGATTTCACTTAAAAAGCAATTTTAAGTAAAAAGGTTTTGATGAACTATCTAGAAAGTTTGAGACATCAGAAATGGAAAACCCAATTTATAAAATTTTAAGGATTATATAAAGAATTAAATTGGGCTAGGAATAGTGGGGCATGCCTTTAATCCCAGCCCTTGGGAGGCAGAGGCAGGTGGATCTCTCTGAGAGGCCAGCTGGTTCACATTGTGATTTCTAGGTGGGCTGTGACTAGAGAGACCCTGTCAAAAAACAACCGACAAAAAGACGAAGAAAGGAAGGAAGGAAGGAAGGAAGGAAGGAAGGAAGGAAGGGAAGGAAGGAAGGAAGAAAAAGAAAGAGAGAGAGAGAGAGAGGGAGAGAAAGAAAAATTAAATTGGGGCTGGAGAGATGACTCAGTAGTTACAGCACTTGCTGCTTTTCCAATTCCCAACATTCATGTCAAACAGCTCACAACCATTTATACAAGCTCTAGGACTTCAGTGACTTCTTCTGGCTTCAATAGGCACCTGCAAACATGAGGCATACACTCACACAGACATACACATAAGCATAAATTTAAAAAATGAAAGTATGCCTTTTTGTGGTGAGTATGAGTTTTGACTTACCCAGTGCATGAGAAATGAGGACATGTTTGCTTCTCGTTTTTACAGACACCTAGGAATGATAGCCTATAAACCTCTATAAGGAACTTTACTTGCATTTACAAATAACCCCCCCAAAAAGTAGATGACTGTTTAATAAGCAGTTATTGAATAACTGCTGTGAGCTGAGTCCCAAAGACATAAAAATGGTTAAGATAGGGCCTAGAAAGATGGCTCAGGGGTTAAGAGCACATACTGTTCTTGCAGAAGATCCAAGTTTAGTTCCCAGCACTCAGACAGCTCATGGGGATCTAATACCTCTAGCGGCACCTGCACTCATGTGCACAGACACACATGCACAGACACACATGCATACACACAATTTAAAATAACAAAAATCTTTAATTAAAACAATTTAATGATAAAGATACAGTCACATAGAACAGTGAGATGGCTGTTCCATGCAACCAAGCAGGTGAAGGTGCCTGAGAATCTGAGTTCAATCCTAGGACCCACATGGTGAAAGGAGGGAACCAACTTCTCCAAGTTGTCCTTTGACCTCCACATATATGCCATGGCATGCACACAGATATACGCACAATGAATAAATGTAAAAAAATTTTAAAGATACAGTCCATGAGGATTTTCAACCTTATTGTTCATACCAGTATAGTTAGATGCTTAGATGCTGGGTGAACACTGTTAAAAGCCTTATGAGGGCTGTGCATGGTGGTGTGTGCCTGTAATCCTGGCATTTGGGAGGTGGAAGCAGGAGGATCAGAATTCAAGGCCTCTGTTCTATAGTAAGTTTGAAGCCAGTCTGGGCTATGTGAGACCCTATCTCAAACAATCAAAACTTCTATGAATAGATAAATAAATACCTTATGAGGCAAAGTATAGCTTAAAATAGTGGACTTCTTGAATTCTGCCATATCTCAACATAGGTTCATATATGCTTCATTGCATCATTAATATTAGTAGAGCCATGGCCAGATGGGAGAATATTTCAGTGCCGAGCAGAATTTGATTATATAGGAATTTCCTTATTGTCCAGTGTAGATAAGAGGAGATGTGTAAGATGAGAGTGGGTATATCCAGCTTTAAGGAATAGCGTATGCTTTCATATTCACAATATCATGCAGAACTGAGAAGAAATCATTCTTTTTTTTAACTTTTAAAAAATTTTGTTTATTATTTTTATTTTATGTATGAGTATATTACCTGCATGTAGGTAAGTGCACCTGTGTAGTGAAATGCCCCCAGAGGTCAGAAGAAGCTGTCGGATCCCCTGGGACTGGAGTTACAGACAGTTGTTAGCTGCCATGTGGGTGCTGGGATTCGAACCCAGGTCTTCTGCAAGAACAACCAGCGTTCTTAACTGCTGAGCCATCTCTCCAGCCCCCAAAGAAACCATTCTTTTAAAAAAGTTTGCTTATGGGCTGGAGAGGTAATTCAGCAGTTAAGAGCGCTGGCTGCTCTTGCAAAAGACCCAGATTTTATTCCCAGCATCCACATGGCAACTAACAACCATCTGAAACTCTAGTTCCAGGGGATCTGAAGCCCACTTCTGACCTCCACAGGCATTGCATGGCACGGGTACGTTTACATACAAGTAGGCAATACACTCATACACATAAAATAAAAATAATAAAATTTTCAAAAAAATTGTTTTTGAGGGATTAATGAGGACTATTGGAATAAGCCATAATCTTATTATAATGCATTTATTTAAATTATTTAAATTAACATGCATGCACATATATTAGATGCTACATGACATGTATATACTAGATATTATACAGGCATATGATAGTCTTCCTGAATAAGCTCAGAAAACATACAGTACATGTATACTTATAAATCTGAAATTTGTACTTGCTTTTTCCTATCTTCTAGCTACTTTTGCAATGGTATTATCTAAGTACCACATTGTTTCAAAACTTCTGGCGTTACTACTTCATGAAAGTCTTTATTCAGGAGAAAAAATTAGCATCATACTTACCCTTGGTCACTGCACAGAGGATTGTGGTAAGTATTTGATTTATCAATGTGTGTATTAAAACAGTGGGGTAGAAACATGCTTTGTTTCTTTCTCCTCTGGTTGTACAAAAAGTTTAAAACCCTACTTTTCTCCCAGTCATTCAGGCTCCTTATTTTCCTTCTCATACCATATTCTCTCGGTTGCTAAGACCTGAAGTTGTGCTTCTTTTTCTCAGCCCTTATCCATCTCCATTGCCCTCAGTCCCCTATCGTCTTTACCTCCCATGCTCCTTCCCTTCTCTCTTCATTTCAGCCTCCCTCTTCATGTCAGTACATGGATCTGATCCTGTTACTCCTTACTGAAACCCTAACTTTCACAGGTTTGTTTCACCTCCATTAGTCCCTCTTTCTTATCCCCTCCATTTTCTTCCCTTTCTACTTTTCTCCCACTCTCCCTCTGTCTAATCTATTCCTTTTTCCAGCCTTCTCCAGTTCCCTCTCTTCCTCTCCTCCCTTCTTTCTCTCACTTTCCCACTCTTCTCCCTTTGTTCTCTCTTGCGTCCTCTGCTCTTCCTTACTTTCCTCCATCAATTTCTCTATTCTTTCTCTTAACCTTTTTTTAAAAAAGTTTTATCAATTCTTTTTTTAAATTTTATTGTATATGTATGAGTGTTCTGCCTGCATGTATGTAAGAGCACTCTTGTCGTGCAAAGCCCATAGAGGCCAGAAGAGGATGTTGAATCCCCTGGAACTGGAGTTACGGATGGTCGTTAGCTGCTGTGTGAGTGCTCTGTGTCATCTAGAAGAGCAGCCAGTGCTCTTAAACGCTGAGTCATCTCTCCAGCCCCTGATTTTTAATTTTTATTTCTATTTACTTATTTATTTGGTCTTTTTGAGACAGGGTCTCCCTGTAGCCCCAAGCTGGCCTGGAACTCACTATGTAGACCAGGCTGGCCTGGAACTCACAGAGATCCTCCTGCCTCTGCCTCTTGAGTGCTGGGACTAAAGGTGTGTGCCACCATGCCCAGCTCTTTTTTTTTTTTCAGACAAGGTGTCATTATGTCACCTTGACCATCCTGGAACTTTTCTGTAAACCAGGCTGGCCTGGAACATAGAGATTTGTCTGCCTCTGCTTCCCAAGTATTGGGATTAAAGGCATGTACTACCACACCCATCTTTTTTATTGATTCTTTGAAAATTTCATACAATGTATTTTGATCATATTCAGATCCCCTCCTCTATATCCAACCTTACCTCACTATCCACACTCTCTTAACCTTTTTTTAAAAAATTCATGGGTATGAGTTTTTTGCCTATATGTAAGTATACCCATGTCATGTAATGCCTACAGAGGCCAGAAAAGGGAATTAGATCCCCTAGAACTGGAATCAAGGAGAATTATTAGCCACCATGTGAACATTGGAAACCAAACCTGGGTTTTCTTCACGAGCACATAGTTTATGATGAAATAATTGCCATTTGAATTTTTTGTATTTTTTACAGAGGAAAATCAGTATGAACTTTTTAAAAACAATGGACTTCCACTGATGATACAAACTTTAACTGAATCTAAGAATGAAGAACTAAATAAAGCTGCTACTTATGTGCTTCACAACTGTCAAAAAATTAGTAAGTTTAATGTTATTTTAAGAAAAGGTCAATCGACTAGGTATAGTGTCGCACCTAGCACTCAAGAGTCCTAGCACTCAAGAGGCAGGGACAGGCAGGTTTTGTGAGTTTGAGGCCAGCCTGGTCTACATAGAGTTATAGACCAACTACGGCTACATTTGTGAAACCCTGTTTCAAAAAAGAGAAGAGAGGAAAGGTGGTGGGAGGGGGAGAGAGAGAGAATGAATATCAATGGCAAGTAATGGTATACACCTTTAATCCCAGGTCTTGGGAGACAGAGGCAGATAGATCTCTGAGTTGAGACCAGCCTAGGCATAGTGAGATGCTGTCTCAAAAAAAAAAAAAAAAAAAAAAAAAACCAACAAAGGGAAATTTATATTTGCTTTAATAAGCCAAGCTATTTTAATTTCCAAATATTTTTAGACTTGAAAAGCAGTGTATACCATTTGGACGTGGCAAGTAAGGTGTTTTCAGCATATGCAAACCTATATAGAAAAGAACATATAAGAACAGCAGTTGAGATAATTTATTTTATTCCTTGTGGACAAGCTTAATTTGTAGGACTTAAATTTAAGAACTAAGGGTAATTTATTTCAAAATCATAGAGTACATTCAGTCTTTCATTTATTTAAATGGAATTTCTATTATGGACTAAGCACTATGTTAGGCATTGAGGGTCCAGTTATAAGAAAACAGTTTGTGCTTATAAAGTTAGTCTAAGTAGAGAAAGCATAAATGAATAATCTAAAAACTGAGAATTAGGTCTTATTATAAATTGACATAGAGGTTATAAGGGGTAGATTACAGATACTTGGGAACCTGTAACAAAGTAATCTGATCTAGACTTAAAGCAGTAAAAGTTTTGGGAGAAAATAATTCTTCGCTTGACCTTAACCAAAAGGTCAAGAAGCATAGGGAGAAAGTAATTCTTGAGCAGAGATCTGAATGTCTGAGCTAGTCAGGTAAAATGAAGGAAACTTCTGTAGGCAAATGGCTCAGGCCTAAGGAGCAGGAAGGCACAAAGGCTCTAGGTTAGGAGGGAGCCTGCTATATTCAAAGAATGATGAGCCGTCTGGCTGGAGCATGGGGAGTTGGTAGTAGCCATGGGATTGTTCCTGTGAAAGAAAAACTACAAACATAATATGTTTAAAAAAGGGTACTTGGGGCTGGATAGATCGCTCAGTGGTTAAGAGCACTGGCTGCTCTTGCAGAGGACCTGGATTCAGTTCCCAGCACCCACATAGTGGCTAACAACTGTCAGTAACTCCAGTTCCAGGGGATCCAACACTCTCTTCTGGCCTCTGGAGGCATTGTGCAACACAGGTGTACTATCATGCATGCAGGCAATATACTCATACGCATAAAATAAAAATAATAAAAATAATACTGTTTTAAATATATATCTAATTTGAAGCCGGGCATAGTGGCACATGCCTATAGTCCTAGCACTTGGGAGGCAGAGGCAGGCAGATCTCTGTGAGTTCAAGATCAGCCTGGTCTACATAGTGAGTTCCAGGCCAGCTGGGGCTACAGGGAGACCCTGATTTAAAAAAATAAAATAAAATAAAATAAAATTATATATATATATATAGTTTGAGACTAGAGAGATATAGCTCAGTGGTAGAGCACATATTTGACATGGGATTGACTCTGATCTTAATTCTCAGCACCAAAAACCTACTACTTTAAAGCCAGTACCCTTATACCTACAATAACATTTTCACATGTTATTTTTCTGTAACTTTCAAAAGTAGTGTCAAATTTATGACTAAGCCCTAGACCTCTGCCATGCATTCTTTCCATTTGTTTTCAGTACCAGTTGAGACAGTATCGATAGACTCTAAAGAAGGGGTCGGGTGGGATATGAGGTTCTCCTTAAAATGTGTCAGAATTTATAGTAATGATAAAATCACTATTTCCCTCCATATTACAAAGCTGAGAGGTTATCTCTAAGTCTAAGAGAGAATTCTTTTGATGACAATGAAGCAAAACAATTAAAGGACATGAAGGCAAAAGAGAAGAATCTTGAAGAATACTGGAAGATAGCAAAGGAAATTGCTCACAGAATAGAACAACTTGAAGGAAAAGGAAATGAGGTCAGTTTCTTTGTTTCAAAGAATATAAAACTCTTTATGGGGCTGGAGAGATGGCTCAGCAGTTAAGAACACTGGTTGTTCTTGCAGAAGACCTGGTTTCGAATCCCAGAACCCACATGGCAGCTAACAACTATCCATAACTCCAGTTCCAGGAAATCCGATGACCTCTTCTGTCCTCCGAAGGCATTGCATGACAAGGGTGCACTTACCTATATGCAAGCAATACACTCATACACATAAAATAAAAATAATAAAGTATTTTTTAAAACTACAACTATTTTAATATATATTTTGTTCAATTTTTATGCATTTCATATAATATATCTTAATGATATTTAGGCCGCCCTCCCCTGTCTGTACTGTCCCCATATTCCCCCACTGGATCTTATGCATTCTTATGTGTTAAGGCCTATTGAGTAAGTTTGTGTCCCCAGATGTCCCTCAGTGTGAGTTCATCCACTGGAGTCTGGCCAACCTATGTAGTATCACTCCCTTAAAGAAGACAAAGTCTCCCTCACCCAGCCATCATCAGCTGCCAATAGTTCCTCAGCTAAGGTTGGAACTTCTTACCCATTTCCCCAGTTCTGTGCAGGGTTGTTGTCTGGTGTGAGTTTGCATGGGTCTTGTACATGCTGTTACCATCTTTGCAAATATTTTTTGACAGTAGAAATTGGAAGTAAAAAAGTTTTTTTCACAAGTTATTCATTTATTTTATGTGGACGAGTGTATTGCCTGCATGTATGTAAGTGCAGTCATGTTGTGTAGTGCCCGAGGAGGACAGAAGAGGGTGTCAGATCCCCTGGAACTGGAGTTGCAGACAGTTGTTAGCTGTCATGTGGGTGCTGGGAACAGAGCCTGGGTCCCAGCCAGTGCTCTTAACCACTGAACCATCTCTCCAGCCCCCTATTTATTTATTTTTATAAAGTGGTCAGGCAACTTTCTTATTTATTTATTTATTTTTATGTGTATCAGTGTTCTGCCTCCATGTAAGTGCACCACATGCGTGCAAACCTGTGGAGACCACAGAGACAAAGCCTGAGAAATGTATCATTCGATAATTCTTTCATTGTAGAAGCATCATAGAGTAATTACACAAATGCAGGTGCTATAGGTCAAGAGATGCAGTAAACTTAAAGAGGTGTCAGACTGATGCTGAACTAAAACAGCATATAGTAAATTTATTTCTTTTTTAACAAGTAGAAGGAATGCACTCTAAAATAATGACAATATATAATATGGTAAATACAAAAAGTAGCAACAGTCATTTATTATAATCAATTATTAAATATAGGTAATTGTATGTGCTATAATTTATACAGCTAGCACTCTAGTAGGTTTGTTTATATCACCACAAACATATGAGCAGTGCATTCTGCTACAAGTGATGTGATGGCTACAATGTCATAAAGTGATAAAAAATTTCCAGCCAACCTAGGTTACTTGAGACCCTGTTAAGTGCCTAGTGTGCATGAAGCCCTGGGTCCAATCCCTAGCAACAACAACAAAGAAAAATGTGAATATATGTGTCATATGCTGGAAGGTTGGCCTTGAACTCACTATGTAGTTGTAGATGATCTTTTCTATTCCTCTTGCCGTTGCTGAATCTGGTGCAGGGATTATAGTTGTGTGCTACTATCCTCGGTTTATGCAGTGCTGAAGATTGAACCTAGGCCTTCAGGCATGCTAGGAAAGCGTACTACCAATTAGCTGAGCTACATCTCCAGCCTAATTTTATTCTTTTGTAGATGTGCTGTAGCCAGTACTTTACTGATGGATATTTAGGTTATACTTAATTGCTTACCAGTGTAAACAACTGGAATAAACCTCAGATACATACATGCTTATATACATAGACATTTTTGAAACAGCTTTGAGATATTATTCATATACCATACAATTCATCTATTTAAAGTATATAATTCATTGATTTGTAGTATAATTCACAGAATTGTGCAGATTCACTGTAATCAGTTTAGAATCTTTTGTCATACCTAGAAGAAACTCAGTGTCCTTTAGTAGTCATACTCTTGTGTTTGCTTGGACAACCATTCCTCTATTTCCTTTTTCTATAATTTTCCATATTTTGGATTATTCATAGACTACAGTAATATAATGTATGGTCTTTTGTGAGTAAGATCTCCATTTAACATGTTTTCAAGGTTCATCCAGGTTATATTATATTATATATATGTACATGTGCATGTTGCACATGGGGAAGTCAAAGGACAACTCTGGGTGTTGGACCTCAGATGCCTTCTCCTTTTTGTTTGAAACAGTCTCACATTGCTTTAGAACTTCACCACATAGGCCAGCATAGTTTGCTGGGGAGCTTCCTGGGATCTGCCTATCTCTATTTCCCATCTCACCATCACCGGGATTCCAGAAGTGCACCATCATACTTGGCTTTTTATGTGGTTTCTAGGAACCCAAACTCAATCCTGATGGTTACAAGGGAAGAACCTTACTGAGTGAGCCATCTACTTGACCCTTGAAATGTAATTTTCATTCACATTATTCACCTATTATTGGTGCCTAATTGAGTAGTTTTTAGTAAATTAAATTTTGGTGAAAATATCCAACAGTTTTTCTTCACTTTTTTTTTTTTTTTTTTTTTGAGACAGGGTCTTATTCTGTAGCCATGGATTGCTTAGAACTTGCTAGTAGATCAAGCTGGCCTCAGACTTGCAGCAATCTTCCTGCCTCTGCCTCCCAGGTGCTGGGATTATAGGCATGAGCATCATGACTGGCTCCATTTTAATAATTTTTAAATGTACAATTATGTGACATTAAGCACATTCATAATGTTGTGCAACCATGTCCCCTGGCCCTGTTTCTAAGCTTTATGTTTCTTTGTTTGATGTAGGGCCTCATTCTATAGCCCTGGCTGGCCTAGGGCTGGCCTTGAAATTGTGGGAAATTTATTGTTTCTGCTTCCTGAGTGCTGGGATTACAGACACGTGCTACCACAACCAGCATTTTTTTGGACACGTAACCCAGGCTGGCCTTGAACTCAGTTTGTAGCTGAAGGTGACCTCAAATTCTTTTTTTAAAATATAGTTTATTTTTTATTTTATGAGTGTATTGCCTGCATGTGTATAAGTGCATCTGTGTGGTGCAATGCCAACAGAGGTCAGAAGAGGGTGTTGGATTCCTCTCGAACTGGAATTACAAGGTGGTTGGTAGCCTCCATGTGGGTTCTAGGAATCAAACCTTGGTCCTCTGCAAGAGCAGCCAATGCTCTTAACCGCTGAGCCATCTCTCCAGTCCCCTCAAATTCTATTTTTTTTTTTAATTATTTATTATTTTTATTTTATGCATATGAGTGTGTTGCCTGCGTGTATGTAAGTGTACCTGTGTTGTGCAGTGGCCTTAGAGGTCAGAAGAGGGTGTCAGATCCCCTGGAACTGGAGTTACGGACGGTTGTTAGCTGCCATGTGGGTGCTGGGAATTGACAGCCACTGCTCTTAACTGCTGAGCCATCTCCAGCCCCCCAACTTTTTTTAATGTTGAATTCAGATTGTTTTATTTATTTTTCAAATTTTTAATTTTTTATTTTTGATAATTTCATACATGAGTATTACCTTTACATTGTTTCCATCTCTTCTGGTCCCCCACCAACCAATT